AGGCTCCAGCGGTGGTGGAGGGAGGGGGACGCGCGGCCGCCTCCGCGGTGGGCTCCCGCAAGCGGCTCTGACGCCAACCCCAGGCCTCGCCACCGGACCCTTGGCTGCCATTCAGCCTGCGAAAAAATTAGGCAGAAGTGACAAAACTGCGCGTCCTGGGTGCAGAAGCCATGAAACCGCCCAGGCGGGTGCTGCGGCACGGGGATGCGCAGCACGGCTGCTCGCGGGGAGCCTAAAGAGCCAACGCTTCCCACACAAAATCCTCGCTGTACCTAAAACCCCACTGGAATGTGGACAGTTGAGGTGACGCTGTGCTCGGTCCTTCCCGATACGTTTTCCTCGCGGTAAGCGAGCCACCACCGCTCTCACTTGGCGAAGGCTTTTTCCCGTCCAGCGTACGCTGGGAAAACTCGGGACGCCCAAAGCCAAAGCTGGTTCCCACCGCCCGGCTCGCTGCCGGCCCCGAGGATCACTCGCGCTTTGTGGTGATGTTCTCGTGATGTTCTCTCGCGCCCACAGAGTCGCTGCCGAGATTTACCCAACGGGGGGTGAGGTGATGAAGACGCGTAAAGAAATCATATAACGGCGTAAGACGCCCCGGACGTGCGAGGAGTGTTTAAAAACAGGTTTTCGTGTACGGAGGGGCCGCTCTGGCTTCGTCCCCATGGCGCTCACCCCCACGGGTGCCGGAGGGGTGCTCCTGCCCCGCGTGTCCCCTCGGCTCCCGCACTGCTCGCCGCTGAGCTGCCGCGTGGCGATCGGCACCGGTCCTGTCGCAATAGTTCCTCCAGCCTATAGTTTTATCGTCGCAGGAGAAACTTACTGCAAAGGCCCTTATAGGGATAAGTAATACACCTAATTACCATATCCTTAGAATAGATGTAATATAAATTTCATTACTCACTTAAAAGTTCTAAAGTTAACAGCATAAACTTGAAGTTGAGTAATTAAGTAATCCTTATATAGACACTTATTAAAGTATTTATACATATTATCTTAAATCTACATCTATCATTTTGCCAATTAAAATTAGGACTTTAATTGCAATTAAGTAATTTAATTGCCAATTGAACAGCAAAATTGCTAAGTGACTAATTTTAATGCCTATTTTAATTACCAATCATGACTGGGGAGGGAGCTAATCAAGCAGTATCAGAGTAATGATGTGAAAAAAAAAAAAAAATAACGGAGAACAAACATTCGAGACTACATGCTTTTAAAAAAGAACCCCAAATTAAATAAATGCAAACACAATTTTATACATGTGGCGAAACGCTGTATTTTGGTACCTAAACACCCGGGCACAAAGAAGGCATTTAACGAGGAAGCGCAACGCTGAGGACGCGGCGCCCCTCGGTTCCGCGAGGTACCCCCCGCACCGTGCTGGGGGGGGGTGCGCATCCCCAAAAAGCCGCGCCGAAAAAGCGCAGTGGGGGTAAGTGGGTGAGGAGAGGACCCCCTCCCACAGCGGGCGGCAGCCGTGGGGCCATCTGCGTGGGGAGGTCCCCGCGGGGGACGGCTGGGGGGTGACAGCGGCCGCCCCCCACACCCACACCGGACCCCTCACCCATGGGGCAGCGGGGGCAGAGCGCGGCGCCCACCCCTCCGCCTTCGCCGCCCACCGCGCGTCTCGCTGCTGCTCCTTCCCCTCCCGGGGGTCCGTTCCGGCTCCGTTTTTCCCCCCAGGAAAAACACACACGCACACGCGTGTGCACACCGAGGTGTGTGGTCACCGTTCCCACTCCCTCCCACCCGTGGTTCGAACACGCTGAGGTGAATCATAAACATTTTTGACTCTGGACAGCCCATATAGGAGGACTGTCCCATAAGCATGTAAGCATATATAGGCGTATAAGCATATATAAGCTCATAAACGTATATAAGCATATAAACATATATAGGCATATAAGCATATATAAGCACGTAAGCATATATAAGCATATAAAAGCGTATAAGCATATAATCATCTATACATATAAGCATATAGTCATCTATAAGCATGTAAGCATATAGTCACCTATAAGCATATAAGCATCCATAAGCATACAAGCATACCCCAAAAAGTCAAAATCCATCCTCCTGAAAGGCTGCACCCGCCACTAACGAGGTTTTCCAGCTCATTAGAACAGGCTCCACAGGCGGACGTGCCGCAGATGCTCCCACGGGCCGGGTGTTGGGGCCCGTCTGTGCGCGGGCCCACATCAGGTACCGTTATTTTCAATAAAAGCACAAAAATTCATGTCATCCCTATCCAAAAAATTCCCAAGGAAAGTTAGCATCTGGTGAAGGTGAAGGAGCGCAGGAACGGCTCTGTGGCGGCTGGAGCTGTACATAAATCTATTAGGAGAAAAGCCGTAACCGGATCAGATCAGAGCCCCGGTGTTGGATTTTGCCGCGTAGCAG